ATAATATTATGATTGACATGTGCATATGAATACAAGATAAAGTTAAGACACAAGTGGATTTCATAGAGCATAATAATAGAATGAAATACAACTTAATTGATTTAAGATTAAAGAAAAAATATTAATGGTAGGCATAGCCTATGTATTAGATACATTGGGCCTAACACACATCCCTACCACCATCTGTTACATCATTTTCATATTTTTTTTTATAGAAGAAAAGCTATTCCAAGCCCGAAAATTTAAATTCAAACAACATTTTCGAAAATAAAATATGCATATAATTAGGCCTATTTAATCGTTGCCCATTGAGGCTGATTTTACTACACCAATAATTCAAGGTTAATGTATATGAGTACCTTATTTTTCGTTTTGCCGAATAATTAATAGGCAGAATTGGCGCCATGTATGCCTACATGGAAAACCGGAATCGGGCAAGGTTTTCAATATTCAGGGTTAGGCCTATATAACCTATCTGAAAAACATGCACGCAAACTTGTTCAATGTGTACAGTATGTGAGGGCGCTCGTCGCTTTTCTTGTGAAGTTCAGTCTCATGGGTGGGGGAGAGGTGCAAGTGAAATGTGTCAATGCAAACACTAGGCAGTCGTGACAACTTCATATGGTTTGTTAATAAGAATGATACCAAAAACCCCCAAAACAAACAAAAAACAAATTTGTTGGGTTTAATATTGATGATAAAGATGCTGTCACTTTTAAATGTTATGGAAAAACAGTTCAGCGTATCTTGCTAACATCGTAGGCCCCTATACTGTCCACTATTTAGATTAAAATCTAATCGGGCTCTTTAAGTAGATCAAGGTCTGCCTGTTTAATCAACAACTTTCTTGATCATCAAAATGTGTAGTTGCTTTAAAATCAAGATAGGCTTAAATCGATGATTTGTCTGTTTTTGTCTGTTAACACTTTTGATGATTAAGTGCCAGTTAGGAATGTTTACGGTATATTATATTGATGTTTCCCAGCAGAAGTGCTTCTGATGTCTTATTTGTTTCACGTTGCAGCAAGTGAACACTATTGCTTCGTTAGAACAGTTTTCAAAATTAACTAATTATATTCGTCTGTCAATGTCACCTGACCACAAAGACCCCTATTTCCCACGTTTAGGATCGATAATGAAGGACGCCATTGGAGATAAACCACCACTTTTTTTTAGGTTATCTGAGATGAAATCTTTCATACGGTACGGTATATTATAATTTTGTATATCCATTTATAAATGATCTTTTCCTTAAAAAGTCAAATCAAATTAAATTACATTTAATAACAAGTTTTGCCAACTGTAAACGTCACGATATGAAATGCTTTGTTTTTCTGAGTTTTGTTTTGAAGAAATATTTAGTTATACTTATTTTATATTACTATGTTATATAATAATACAGTAATAATAATAATAATAATAATAATAATAATAATAATAATAATAATAATAATAGGCCTAATAATAATAATAATAATAATAATAATAATAATAATAATATACCTATTAAGACACGATTATTTCGTTTTTTGACAGCCCGACGAGTATCAGGATTCACTGCTGCCTGTCCTACAAAAGCGTCAGATCATTATGCGCTAAAATAACAACATTTGCTGTAAGGACAACGTTATTCTAATTAATTTTTGTATGATTACTTGTATGTAAATTAACCACAAGTATGAAAAAAGTGTAATAAGATTAAACGCAATAGTACATCACATCAACAGTGGATTAGCTAACATCAGACATTTTAATTGCATATCAACTCTTTATGATTCACGTTATCTTTATCCAATCTGATTCTTGTATTGGTTTCACGGGATAGCATGCTCTTATGGAAGAAAATAATGATAATCCCTGTAGAGCAGTGACGAATAGGCCTATTACAAAATTGTCATAAAATTATTTGTCACGGGATTGCATCTTACAACAATAGTCTACTTGATCGGCATATTTAATGATAATCATCAAGTAAGTTTTCGGTCGCCACCCCTGCTGATTCTTAAATAGATTTTAGGCTTATGTTGGTATTGTCTGAATATTCTGGAGATTTATCATGGAGGCCCCGTGAGTTAAACAACTGTATCAGCTTATGTTGTCAGGTTACCGTACTCCATAGGCACTTTTTATACAGGACACAAAATCCTCACGTGACACTTCTTTACTGCCCTTGATGATTTGAGCAGAATATCATGATTTGAAATTTGTCTCTGTTTTGAATCTGACTTCAATTTGTTATGGCCTTTCCCAAATGTTATTTATCATCACCATGAAATATAAAATGATATTCCTCTGGGTTTGATATGAAGTTTTTTTATACCTAATAAAATAATATATAAATAAAATAAATATTTTTAAAAGTGAGTAGAAAGCTCTAAAAACGCATACGAAGATTTGCAACAAGCCTTGATGTATTGAACACTGTGCACGCCAATAAATTGAATCTCTCGGAGAAAAGTTCGAATATGTAGAGGTGGTCTTCCTGAATAAATGAAAAACAAACATGTACTTAAGATATTCAGTACTTTACTAAAATCTGCGGGAAAGCAAGTATTGTATTAAAACATAGAATAATGTCAATTATATGGACCAAATGTATTACTAACATCCAATAAACTCATGTCAAACAAAATACTGTAATGTTTCAGCGGATTTACATACTGTACAATAAGAGTCTACGCAAAACAATATATAAACTGTAATAAGCCTATATACAAGAAAAATATTTTATCTTTTTTATTTTGAAGATTTTGAAAAGTTAATATAGGTCTAACTTGTGTTAAATAATTAGTGTTGGATTCAGAGCATTTTTTTAAACAGTCAAAATTGAAGTTCATTTGTGTTTGTTGTATATAAATATGTTTGTACTGAAATTTATTGAAACAGTTTTTGTGGGCTTATAAATATAAGTTTTCGAATGCCTGCCATTGACAAATTCTGTTCTACGTTACGTTTGATAACAATGTTTTATTATTTTCCACTTTTCATTTATTAAAAGTTACCTGCTGCGCATGAGCCTACTTAGACTTCTGATATTCAGAAATTGTAGTAGTGCGCCCTCTATAACACTTTGCCGCGGAATCCTTTGCGCGGAATTAAATCTAAAGATCTTATAAACGCAAGATAGCGTTTCTCCGCTATTTAAGCGTAACGAATAGAAGCGTCGATTTGGCAGCAGAAAGCTATGGCAGAAAGTAATCATTTTTGGGAGAGGGCGTCCTAGTTGTTGCCATAGATCTGAGATAAGGTCTTCGCGTTACGCCAAAGTTCGTTATATGTACCAAGTACGTTATTATTCTGTAATTTGTAAATCGACGCTTCTATAATTGTTACGTGTAAAGGTAAATTTGCGCCCAGTGTACGCCATGGTCAAAGCAGTCAAAGTTCAAAAGTTTTCATTTTTGCAAGAGGGCGCGGTACATTGCGGCGTTATTACAGAATTTTCACGCGGATATTGCGGAGAACGCTCTTGTGTTTATAAGATGTTTGCTGAACTTTGAGGCTCGCTCGTCATTGGATACTCTTTATTTAGGCTGGTATCGTGAGATCACCGTGTACAGGAACCCATAGGTTTAAGTTTTTTTAAGAGACAATTTACTAATATTATAACTGTACACGCTACCTGATCTGCAGACCTATGTTAAGGCTCACCAAGGTAGGACTTGTTAAGTTTAAATGTGATGATGTGATCATCTTTGTGTGGCTTTTAAAAGACCAGTTTGGGACCTCACTTCAAAGTCGAACCCTTCCACTCTAGGCTACCTCACCCCCATTAGTCACTTTCCGTATGTCAATAATTCTAGATATTTGGACAGACCTGTGGACAGTATTACGGTGATAAGAACAAGTAAGGTGCATCCTCAAACTCTGTACAGTACAGTACTTAATGACGATTATTTTCAAATTGTAAATGCTATAATACTATAATAGGCCTAGCCTTCCTAGGCCCCAAGCTTATTCTTAAATTGTTTTTTTTTAATGTTTTACTGTACCATCAAGTTTCACCACAAACTTTTGAGTCATTTTTGTTAGCCCACTGGCTCTTTGTAGAGAAGGCAAAGACTTTTCAATGAGGACCCAAATTATAATTGTATAGATACTTTCAAAGGGCAACTTTTCTTAATTTTAAAATCAATGGCGGGAATGGGTCATAATTAACAACTTTAAACCTAGGCTTAGGCGAAACTTTTTTTATTCCTTGTTTCGCGTACTTATTTTTTTACAGATCATCGGAGGAGGGCGGAATAAAAATACTGTAAAACTAAAATTTTGTTTTCTTAAAATATAGTTTTGCCAAAAACATCCAGATTGAGGAAAAATAAAAATAAAATTTTATTGGTGAATGTAAAATAGGATATATGGTTAAATGCTCCAAGTTTATATAGTTAGGAAGAAATCTTATCTTTGGAGATTTCAAGACAGTGGAGGGCATAATAAAAATGCTGTGGTAGATACAGTACCGTATTTCTACTTCAATTTGCTAAAAGGTACAGTAAATAGCATAACGTCACCATCACCCAATGAAGAGCCAGAATGTGCGTGACATCATCTTTAAAGATTGGCATTGCAGATCACCCACGATGAGCGGCCAGTGAAACGCGAATGATGTACTGGGTAAATTAGAACATATTAGGCCTACAAAGTACAATACTATACTTAGTACTGTACTGTCATCGATAAATAGGCGTATAGTTCCACTCAGTATGAGTCATGTCATTTATCTATACAGTACAGTATAATATCCATTATCAAACAAGGACTGTAAACTTTAATTTTTTTCGGAAATTTCCATATTTTCGTGGCCTCAGGTGCACTAATTGGCCAAAAATAAAATTTTATTTTTATTCAAAATCATCAATATTTGCAGTCGGCAAATAAAATATAAATAAAATGCAAATAAGATATAAAAAAAGTCCAGCCTTAGTCTACATAGAAAGTTTCCTAACAACTGACCATAATTTAATGAAGAACAACATAAATTAATATACATTACTCTAGGATTAGTTTTTCCTACTCTGGTAAATTTATTGTGCACAAAATGCCGGATGTACAATTAAACCACACTTTAATCAACAGGATACAAAAAGGCAACATGTAGAAGAAAAAACTAATAATTGTTTCCAGTAATTTTGAACACATCATAAATTAGAAAAAATTACAAATATATTTTGTTTTTTTTTTTGATACATGAAGTTGGCAAAAACAACTTTCTGGGTGCCAAGTTTAATTAAATCCAAAAATATTTAATATCTTCTGAAAACTACACACGCATCCTTTTGTTATCCTTTTGTTTTTATTGCGTAGTTGGCCAAATATAAAAATATAAAATAAATCATTTATTGGTATGAAAGTGAACAATTACTAATGGATTTCTCAAGGTGTATCAAGAATATTGAATATGAAGCCAGAGTCCAGAATAACATTGCTAAACTTTTCATTAACAGGTTAACTATTATGGCATGTTTCAGGATGGCTTCACTACAAGTATTCTCATAAACAACATAAGAATTTTGTATTGTAAAAAAATGCTGTCGATCCAGTTAATACAGCAACAAGTGCTCGGCTGGCAGTTCTGGAAAGATCTTAATTGTATACATGTATTTACACATTTTGTTGGGAGGTTCAAAATTATGTATTCGGTCACGTCTTTGATAAAATACCCGGCAATGCAAAAAGAATTACAAAATTCACCATGTCAATCAACATGTAATCGTACCTGTATATATTTTTCGCTTAGCATTTCTTTGAAATCAACACAATGTTAAAGATTACCTTAACTTTGAACAAAAATATTACTGTATATACACCATTCTACCATTACTGTACATAAAAACCAGTTAATATCTTCTTTGAATTATTCATATCTACTTATGAATATTCATGTTCAGGTATGAAATATTGATAACCGCTTATAAGTTTTAATTGACATTGGTCTTGATGCAAAATACAGTACACAGTATAAAATTCCAGTAACTCAGTGGTGAAAACATACAAATGGTGAGTATTAAACTCATACAAAGTGCGAGTCTTGTATCTTTCAATTTAAATACTGTTTATGTTTACAGTCTGCATATTATTGAATTGTCTTTCACACTGTACAATGGAGGTATTCAAGTCAAAACTGCTTTGGCAAAACAGTTTTTTCTGTAACTAACAGCAAAGATCAGAACACACACATACAAGACTTGCATCAGCAGACAAACACACTATTGTTTTAGTCTTCTCAAAATGGTTACAATGATAACATCAACATCAACGATCATTTTCAAACTTGATATTTCGAAAGCATTCAGTAACATTGAATATATGATCACTCTACAATACATCACCTTTACTGAGCCAACTAAGGGGTATTTACTGGACAACAAAAATTAACTACTAGAAGAATTCACCTAAGCACTACGAACATTATAGCATCTAAATTCGCTGTTCTTTCCACACTGTTTCTCACACGCTTCCTCTCACGAAATTTATTGTAAGGCAGCAGGTAGTCCGGATTCAAGAATCTTCTTTCACTTCTTCGCCAGAATCTCCATTGGTCTTCTGTTTCTTTAGAAAGGCTTCACCCTCCTGTTGATGATAGATAGATTGAGATTGAAGTATTTTCTTTTTTTTAATTAATAAATGAAATTTTATTTTTAAAAAAATCAATTTGGACCCATGATATTTATGAGGCTTACGATGTAGATATTTATTGAGTCATGTGAAGAATCCTTGGGTGTTTGAATTAAAAGATGTGAACCGGGAGCTACGAAAGCTGACCTTCAAATTCTGCGTGCTGGTTTTTGTGTTCTCATTACCACACTATCCAAGCCTCATAAAAGCTATAACAAGGGTGGTGTAAGCAGTCCGTCCCATTTAGCGGCCTGTCTGACCATTGTGCCAATTTATTATCTAGCATAACTTAAATTATTGAAGAGACTACAAACACCATATTTGAAATCTGAAAATTTATGAGTCTTTGTTTTTTCTTTCTAGCATAAAGAAAGGTAACCCAATGCTATTAGACTTATATTAAGTTACTGTTTAAATACTGAAATATTAGAAAGTTTGCAAATGTGTAAAATATCAAAAATCCAAAATGATTACTTTAGCTTCATTTTTTAGTAATTCTAAAATGAAAAAAGCAGTCTGTATCAATTCATAACCAACCTCTAACGTTTCTGCCATTGTGTGTGTCCTTTTTAAAGCTGCTGTTTCATCACCCTCATCTGCTTCATTGCTATCCTCGTCGTTTTCACCTTCATCACCATTTTCTTCTTCTTCAGCATCGGCAATTGCTTTGCTCTGTTGCCTTGTTTCACCCAATGGCTTATCATCCCCAAGGAACTCATCTCCTGCCTAAGAGAGCAAAGATGCAAGAAGGTGAGTCATTTCAGTACCATATGTAAATAATCAGTTGTTTTTTTTTTCAAATGAATTAGCTTAATTGAATTAATTTGACGATAGGGGTGGGGGCATGAATTTTCCCCTGTATGATACTGTAGCTACTCATCATACCTTAGCTGTTGCTACCATAGTACCCTCCCTGACTACTGGTGGAAGGTCGCTTTCTTCTTTTTGCTCACTATCAATCTTCTCTTGATCACCTCTTGTTCGTACCTCTTCTGGTAATTCACCACCAGTACTTTCAAGAAATCTTTCCCCATCCTGTTGTGAAGCAAAAACAGAAGCAAAATCTTCATAGTATATTAGATTTTCATAGTACTGTATTATTCATCTGGATCCATTAATTAGTGTACTTAAAAATAAACCTGTGTGAAGGGCCCTCAGAATTGCAGCCTGCCACATCAATGCAGAACTGCCTGTCATCATCAAATGGTAGTTCCATGAAGCCAGACACTCACTGTGTTGTACAACGAAATTTTTAATAGTTTATCACCCTTGCGCGCATGCCTTTTATGGCACAAACAAAAATATTTTTGAAAAAAAAAAATTGAATATTTTTTTTTTATGTTTTTTAATTAAATAGTCAGTAGATGTTTGTATTATCTCAATCATGTTTCACTTTGAATATCAATGCACCAGCAAACAACCCAAGGGTGATATTTGGCTTTAGCAAAATTAAAATAAAGCCTCCCTCCCTCATCACTTTTCCAGCCTAGACAGCCTTATGTATTATATGTTCTCAAATCAGTATTTAATATCAAAAGAGTAAATGTATCAATGGCAACCAAGAAGGAGTGAGATTGAAACTATCAAACTAAAAACTGCCAGAATTTACATTGCAATATGCAAGACTACAGTAGCTGGAATTAACAACATACTGTAAATATTCATGGAGAAATGGCTGTTTCTCTGAAGAATACTTAAAAGTGCACTTTCTTTTAAAAAGGTGTTAACAGGTAGACCAAACATGAATTTATTCTTACTTTGATTGTGGCTTCCATTGTTCCTTCCCGAGGTACCGCTGGTTTGTCACCGTTACTGCTATCTGTCTTGTCTCCATTGGCATTTGTCTCAGGTACAAGGTCTTCTTTTCCCTGACGTTTGAGGTACTCAATTCCTTCCTAGAATTAAATAAAATTTCAGAAATCAATCTAAAGAAAATGATCCATGTGAAGATAAGTTAAATGAGCATTTAGCTGAGAATACAGTTTCTACTTCTCAGTGGCGGATCCAGGAATTTTAAATAGAGAGGGCCCAAAGAGGAACTTTCACAGATAGAGGGTCGATACTACCTCAGTCCAACCATGGTGGGGCTGAGGTAAGAAACATTTGATTACTGTATGGAACCTCTAGATGGCCGGATCTTAGACTTAAATTTGAATATAATTTTATTTTTTTTTAATTTTGAAAAATTTATTGGGCGTCTGAGCCGGCCAGGCCCCTCCCCCCTTGAATCTGTCTATACTTCTGGTGTTAAAGACCCCCCCCCCAGTTTAAAAACTAGTACACATTTCAATTGGAGTCAAATAGTTCAACTCCTTGAATAATCCTCACATGAGATTTAGGCAAAATAAACAACAATGTATTCTTTCAGTAGTGGCGTTGCATTGTGGCTGCAGGGACTCCGCTGAAATTTCCAATCATTATTTGGATAAATAGGAAGAAAATTATATAAATTGTTGCAAAATAAATAAATATTATCAAATGTAATTTAATAAAATATGTAATCTGTACTGAATTAGGATACTGTATTCACTGTAATAGTGTGAATCGCTGAGTCGCAGTGCAAATGATTGTACAGTAGCAGATTTTGGCAGTGAATAACCTGACTGATATCATTCAAAGATCAACTGTAGGATACTGTAAATGAATGTGCACTGCCCTCTATGTTACAGACATTAACATTAATGTGGATTTGTAATTAAATATGATGAAACATAATCACAAGACAAATTTCAAATATAAAACAATTAAGAACACAAAGAAAATCATCATGAGCATTTCATATTTACATTCACAATGGAAGAATTTTTGAACTTGTCACAATAAGTCCCAAAAGCCATTGTTTTAAATATTAGAGTATACATTTTTATGTGTATGAATTTCTGAGCTGGCCCCTTTTTTTATGAAGGAAGAATCAGTCGAGATTTCTAAGCACATCCCTCTTAATGAATGGTTGGGAGCTGTTTTGAATCAACAATAATGATATTCACCAAACGGAAGAAAAGAACACAAAAGTGAAAGATTTGGTGATAATATAATAACAGCTTCTGCTTCCATTCACGATTCACGTTTGTTTTTCAATCTATGCCTTATACAGTACTTAATACCAGCCTAGTTTGGTAGGTACTCTAGTTGATTGCAGTGATAATCTCTTATACAGGTATTCTGAGAATAAGCTATTGTTAGTTTTACTGTACAAACAAGGAAGTTGGTTTTTCCAAGCTATTTCCTAAAAATATGGAATAGCAGTTATACAACTAACAAACATTTATATATCAACTACAATAAATGAATTACCAATCAATTTTGGGGATTAGTCTACTGGAATATTTAATACTGTATTCTGCAAAACTAAATCAGTGAATGACATGTTCATTGCTAAAGCACACAATAGTTACTGAAAGTTAGTGAGAAATACAAGGTAAAGTGGGTAAAGTGAAAATTATTTATGGAGGATTTGACTTGATAATGTTTTTTTAATGTTGGGTACCATTATTTTTAAAGAAGCATGCTTTTATATGTGAATTCCAAGATGTTGTTTTTTCCTTTCAAAACTGCATAATGTCATTCCATCCTAATTCTATCTTCTTGCCCCACTTCTTGCTGCTGCTGTTTGACTCCACCGGTTGTACAATTTTGTGAGTTTTTAGTTAACAATTATTAAAAAGTAAAAATGTTGTAGCAATAAAATGAAGCATCCTTTTATGTTTTTCAAAATCATTAGAATAGTATGCAAGTTCATACATTTTACCCCTTGTGGGTAATTGAAATTAAATTTTTCTTTTTGTCCAGTTTATATCAATATTTGAAATTGTACACAATTAGAACCCACAGGAAGCTGCAGTGCAAGCACAACTGACATGGAGCAGATACATTGTCTTGCCTTCTGTCATCATATGAGGGTTGATTGTGAGCAAGTAGCTGAGCGACCAGACTCAAATTGAACCAGACACTGGCTAGTAGGTTTGAACCTACCTTCAGCATGAGAAGCTTACCTCTTGACCAAACACTCAGCTACAGTACAATTCAACAGTAGCTTACCTATAGAAATCACTTTCAAAAAGTAACTCAGTTATCACTTTACAATATATAACAATTTTTTTTCATGTAGGCCTAGATAGTATTTTCTTTTATTTGTAATGAAAAAGCCTGGTAATGTATTCAATAATTGATATCTAAGCTACAGATTACAAAATTATGTTTCTGCTTATTTTAATAGGCTTTTTAGTTCAGTTCAAAGTATAAGTTGTGTGGTCACTGAGGAAACAAATGTGTCAACCCTCTTTGGCTCTCCAACTGTGGTGATTGATTTATGAACACTGACAAGTGGTTGCCTGGTAACACAGACATCATAAAATGACCTGTGCTGTACATGCAGACAGGCAGGCTTTGTATTTATGTTGATGTTAATGTAGGCTACTAATACTAATACATTATAAGAATGGAGGAATAACCAAACTATGTACAGTATATTTTATTACAGTAAAATGTTAATTTTTTGGCATACATAACATACAAAATATAAACATTTTAGAAATAAACCATTCAGCATTAAAATAATTTACAAAGACAGATTCATGTCAGGAAAACCCACTCACCTTAAGCTAATAAACTAAACACAAATTTTTATGCAGGGAAAATCAAAGTCTTTGTCTCCTTAAAACCAATGTGTGTGAGGTCTTTGTAAACTCAAATTCCCTAACATTTTTAAAGGTTGTTATAACTAAGGGAAAAGCTTTTGTCCCTTCAGTTCTTGCATTGTTTAAAAACATGGGACCACAAAGAATTCATAAAGAAATTTGGTCATGGTCGAACTGCTCATTAGTGCAAAATCTTTCCACGCTTTGTTGTTTTTCTCTCTCAATTGCAAGATAAACAAGTCAAATGGTACTTTCAATTAATATGCTGTTATTAATATATATGAAAGAATATACAAAGTACCTGATGACTATTTAATAATGTACTTTTTTGGAAGAAAATGGGAAGTGTGGCACTAAAGGGGAAGTCCCTAACATGGCTTGTGGCTTGTTGGAAAACTTCAGCTTAAGTGTGGAGGAAATTTTATGCTAGACCAGCAAATTTCCAGCACTACAGAGGGACAGGATTTTTGTAATACAAAACACAAGTGAAATATATCAAGATAAGAAATGTATGACTTATTACCTGTTTTGTCCTAATTTTCTTTTTGTCTAGCCTAGTTACAGTATATATCTGCATGATAGGTTTTCTTCTCTTTTTTTTTTGTTGTTAATGATTACACGTATAGTAAGAATTAGCGTACAATACTCCTTTTAAAGTGGTTTTCAATTTTCTATTTATTCCTTTACCTTTTTCAATATTTTCTGACAATAAAAATAACATGTTAAACTGCAACCACTTTATTGTAAAAAATGGGCAGGAGATTATGTCCTCCCCAATCATTCAATCAATATACAGTATATACAATATATAACAAATATATGAAGTAAATTATTGATCTTTACACGACTTCCATTAACTGAGATGGTTCCACCAATTTAAGTAGTACATTTTAATCAAGAGCCATCAATAGATTGACACTTTCTATTCTTTATGATCTACTGTATTTCAATCACTTTATTATTACCTATCCATTGTATTCTACTCTACAAGCCACATTTAAATAATTTACCAGAAGGGAGGTTTTATACTACTGTGTATTAATTCTAGATCCATTTACATTCGTTACTAAAGCAATGCCTCTTTATGATTACCATATCCAACAGGCTGGTTGGTGTTTCTATTATATCAGGAGGAGGAAGCTGCATATTATCTCCTTGTTGCTACAAAGGTTACTACTGTACAAATATTGAATATCAATTGGATGTTGAATAGAAGTACAACAACAAATTCATCTACCTTATGGTACAGTACTAAAGTTATACCATAGTAAAATTACTGTATTACACAGTACTAAAGTTATACCATAGTAAAATTACTGTATTACAAAAAAAATTAAATACTTAGGAAAAGTAATCTATTAGTAAGTATTACTTTAACGTTGTGTTATTTTTAATGCATTCATGCATGTAATCATTCACAAACTAATACTGCACATGGTTATTGTCTAATTTAAATATGAAAATTGCATCAGAGAAAAATGACTAAATTAAACTTTCGCTTTGTTGTATAATCAATCAAGGATATTTAAATAAATCTTTAAAATATAATTGGAAAACAACTTAAATATATAAAGTACTATAACTCTAATTACTATAGCATGCAATTATAATATTAAATATATATTTTATATTACTGTATTAAATTGCATCGAGAAAATATTGCCAATGCATTATTGATATTTTTAATTAGATTTTTTGAATATCATATTGAAATGAGAACATGGTACACATAATTACCAAACCAACTAACCTAATTAATATAACATGGTTCAACAGATGTTAATAAAAAACTTTCATTTTTAATTTGAATTTCAAATGTCAGTAAACATTAAAGGAAATCTTTATTAGCAGGAAATAGATTAAAATAACTGATTTTAAAAAAAACTTATGCAAATTAACTTAAATTTAGTTTGTCATTCCATTCAGGGCAGAGAAAATATTAGCAACCCATTTTTTTATGTGTATATATGTTAAGTTCATTATTATATTAAATTATTATTATTAAAATATAGATAAATTGAATCGACTTTTTTAATACATAATATTTTTTCTTTATGTGAATGTATCTGGATTTGTTTATTTCAAAATAAAATCATAATTTGGCCTAGTGACATTGTGTCATATTTCTTCACACCACCTGCTGATTAATGGAATATCCAACATAACTAATTAATTTCTGCTTTATCAAATAAATAATAATTTTAATGTCATTGTCACAATTATTTTGTTGTGCATACAACGAATCTTACCAGTTACACATCCATTATAATATATATCCAGATCTAAACAATAAACATAGACAATACTGTATTACAAAATACTTGAAGCTTGTACGTGATAAAATTTATATACCCACTATATAAGTGGTACAGTCTGATTCAATTAACATGATGAATTTTTACGTTAGCAGTTCCTTGACCCTGTGTGATGTATGAAAGAAAAAGCGAAATAAATCCGAATTTATGTAATACAAAAAACAATAATGACCAACTATAACTTGAAAAAGGATCGATAAGTTTAGTAAAACCAATTTTAGGAATCCGATACAAAATACAATAAACTCATTTTAAACCAATGTATTTAAACAGCCGCGTCTGTATAATTATCCATCATAACATAAATCGTCTTGAATATGCTTAGCATTTAAAATCTGTACACTTATTCTTATGCGACATCGCTCGTAACAACGACGGTGACAAAGATTTACAGATTGACAATTCCCTCTTAGTTTTTACATTATCGCATCACTGGCGACATGACAGACACGGACATGATGAGGAGAGTGAACAAAGAAACTCGACAATCTCTTTTAAGAAAAATCAACAAAGTTAGTTTTTTTATGAAAATTATACAAATAGAAACTTACCTTAGCTGTAACCTGCATTGTTCCGTCTCTTTTGAGTTGTGGTTGTTCTTCTGCCATTATGTTTTGTAAGTTTACTGCTAAAAAAAGATGGAAAAACAAGAAAAACGTATTCCAACAACAACCTGAGCACCTCGCCACACAAAGATAAACCGGGAAGTAAGAGAGGTAATCTTACAGCTGCATGTTAATAGCAACTCTGCATCATAACCTATTGCATTTTTGATTGGTTGTTGTATCGGAGTCCTTTGTTTGGATTGGTCGGTTTGGTACACCCACGCTGTAAAGCGGGATCCCGTTGAGTTGAGAAATACGATACAAGTCGCTTCTTGCTGTATGCAAGCCCAATAAACCATTGCGCATGTGTGTAAATTTATTACAGTACTGTACTACGATTTCCCAGTCAAGTTCCGACTTGTGAGTTATGTAATGATGTCATAATATCACTATATTCGACTATAACTTTAACCACAAACAGATTGGAAAAAAATAATCTACAGACGTTTTATTACTTATACTTTTATTAAGGGTAAATTCAAAAGAACACAACAAATGTATTATTATTATTTAATTGTCAGATGATTTGGTTTTCTTATATTATTAACATTTTCTCAACTGAAAGAAAATTTACTTAAATATACAGATTACAGGCAATTCAAATAT